ATACTCCAGCTGTTGGGGTTTTTTCTTATCACTTCTCCTCTGTGAGACAAAAGTAGATTTATTGAGATCCTGTTACGTTTTCCTTGTTACTCCCAGGCCACCCACCATTTTATAAGTAACTACTTGTCTGTTTCTGACAAATCTTCTTTGTCCTTACCCTGGAGGCCTGTCTCTAGCCTATGGGTCATCCTTGACTCAAGGGCACCAGACAAGAACATAGGCCTGTCTGTTTTGGGGCTGGAAATTGTGTCTCAGGGGTAAGTTCCATTCCAGGCTCCAGAGGAGGCTAAGGGCCACAGTCACATGAGTTACAGTCACAGAAGGCTTGGACATCACTGTGATGTTTAGCTTTGTTCTAATTTACCTCCCACGCTATCTAGGACATCCCATTGAGCCCTTTCTGAGCAGTCAGCAGTGGTGCCAGTGCACCATCTAATTCCTCTGCCCCAGAGTCATGGAAGTTGAAGGTCACAAGGTTCATTGGTACTATGGGCTGATTATTTCTATGTAACTTTGATTTTCTTCCCTCTTCTTTGTTCCAGACAGGAAAGGACCAATGGTTGCACCTTAGATGGCTTCTCAAAAGTTTTAAGGTCCTCAGTTATTATTCACCAAAGTAGAATGCAGAGCACTGACTATCTTGTGCCAGTTCACCTCAGTATTCCCTGAGACAGTGGTTGAGAGGCCCCATGACCAGTGACCTATTGACTCTAGGTGTTCGATTATGGATAAGAGATTTACAGAATATTGTCCTATTATCTCCCTGGACTTTTTGCTGCATATACAAATAAATACTCATGTTTATCATCTGCCAAGTCGATGTGGGATCTTGAAGGTAGTCTTTTTTCACTTGTGCATATGTTTGTCTTGTCTGTCTGCCTGTGTATCCACTTGTAGATGAAAGTTTGTTGGGGGTTGTTTTGTTTTGTTTTGTTTTTGCTGAGGGTCATCGTCTCTAACTCTAACCTTTACGTGATGCCCTTCTGTTAGAAGCCCCTTGACAGACAGCAGTTCCTTTGGTGCCCTCTGGCTCTGTGAGGTTCTTTATCCCCACAGGTGGTCCAGTGGGCGTCACAGGAGGAACAGCCCTGGGCTGAGGCTCTGCTCTTTCTTCAGTTATCCACTTCCGACTGGACATTTATCACCCTGGATGCTGGGGTCAAGGCTGTTGGAGGACTCGCCTATGGAGGCCGGAGTGGCAGGCAAGGCTGACAGCTTCTGTTTTTGCTGCTTTACATACTTGACTCGACGGTTCTGGAACCAGATTCTCACCTGGTCCTCATGGAGGTGGAGTCGGGCAGCCAGCCAGGCTCACTTCTTTCCCACCACGTTTTTCCGTTTCTGGAACGCTTTCTCCAGCTCCTCCAACTGCTCCAGCTTAAACATGGTTCTCCTCCGCTTCCGTCAGCTGGTGTTCATCTCCTGTGGACCCTGGTCTCTGTCTTGGAGGACCAGGGCTACTGGGGGATGATGAACTCTGATGTCTGGGACACACAGGTGTGGCCAGGTGCAAAAGCCGCAGGAGCGCTGCGAGAGCAAGTCAGCATACCACGGATTCGGCTCCATGCCCACGAATGGGGACACACAAGTGGCTGAGAACATGTTGGGCAGAACCTGGCTCAGGGGGCCGTAAGGAGAGCCCCAGGGCCCGAACTGTTGGTGGTGGGGGACAGCCATTGAGTTGCATCATGTGAAGGGTCAGCCCTAGCCATTAGGGCCTCCACAGAGAAGGGCAGCTCGTGGTGGCCAGGGCTGCTTGGGAGCACTGGGTCTCCAAGTCCCCAGGAAGCAGGTGGATGGTGACAGGGGCCCGGAATGCAGAAATACAAGCAGAGCATCTTGCCTGGCAGCTCCAAGGAGAGGGGGATACCCCCCAAACACTGGGGACCCGCAGTGCATGGCAACACTTCGCCGATGCAGGAATGTTCAGGAGGCAGCTGTTGTCAAGGGTCCCTTGGATGTAACAATTTAAAAAAAAAAAAAAAAGAGTGGCTTGGAGGACTCAGGAGCTGGAGGCTGGTCAAGAGTGAGAGTGGCTCGGCTAGATGAAAGTTTTTAGTGACTGGTAACATAGGGTTGTAAGTAACGGTCTGTTCTTTTCAGTAACTCTTAGACAGCTCTCTGTTTCTTCTTTTTCTTTTGTTTATGGGCCATAATATTGCTTTTAATTGACTTTGATAGACTGATCCAGACTTAAGAAAAAGACGTATCATCTGGTAATGTTGTATTGACATGATTTTGTGTACTATCCTTAAGGCTGGTACTACTATTTAATATGAGATATGAGTTGAAAAATGCCTGGCAAATGAGCCATGTTAAACTAATATAATCATGAACTGGTCAAGTAGGTGATGTTTATCTCTTTGGTTGACACTAAGCATTTAGAGGAAGAAATGCTGTTTTTAACTAAGGGATTGGGGGTAAATTCCACTGGTAAGTGAAATTTGAGCTGGACGATGGATGGATGGATGGATAAATGAAGGAGTGGCTGAGTGGGTAGATGGGTGAGTGGACTGGTAGATGAGCACATAGATAGGACATAGAGAGCGAAGGACTAGGAGGCACTCTTGGAACCATGAAGGAGGTATCCTGAAGACATGAAAGTTAGAGAATGAACAGACCAGAAAGAAAATGACATGGTAACCTTATTTTTTTCAATTTTTTTTTATTATTCATTTCAGTGAAAATTTACAGAGACTTTGGGTTTCCATTCATTCACTGTTTCACTTTTCTCCCCTCCCAACCTTTCCCCACCCCATTACACTCCTCTTGGAAAAATAAAAGAAAAATTCTTTCATTATTTTACAATCCCTCCCCCCAGCTCCACTCCACTGTGCAGACTTCGCTCTGGACTCCTGTCATGACAAAACTTACCAATCACATATCCCTTTTAAACAGTTTTCTCCCTCATCTGTTTCAGTGCAGCATACATTATTTAACCCATCTTTCTCAGTCTCCCCTCAACCCTGATGTCAGTCCTGTTTTACAACAGTGGCACCATGCAGTATTTGTCCTTTTGTGACTGAGGTACTTCACTCAGCATAATATCTTCCAGGGTCACCCATTTTGAATAACATTGCATGAGTTCTTTGTTTTTCAGTGCTGCATAGTATTCCATTGTATGACTATACCACAGCTTCTCTATCCATTCATTTGTTGATGGACACTTAGGTTGTTTCCAACTCCTTGCTATTGTGAACAAAGCTCCAATAAATATGGGTGTGCATATATCTGCTTGGGTGGCAGTTATGGTCTCTTTGGGGTATATTCCAGTATTGGAATTTCTGGGTCAAATAGTATCTCTATTTGCAACTTTTTGAGAAAGCGCCACACTGCTTTCCACAGTGGTTGCACAATTTTACACTTCTACCAACAGTGAATAAGAGTTCCAGTTTCTCCACAACCTCGCCAGCATTTGTTGCTTGCTGTTCTGTTAAATTTTGCTATTCTTACTGGGGTAAGATGATAGCTCATAGTTGTTTTGATTTGTATCTCTCTTAGAGCTAGGGAATTTGAACATTTCTTCACGTGCTTGTTAGCCATCTGAATATCTTCTTTGGTGACGTGTCTGTTAATGTCCTGTGCCCATTTTTCTATTGGATTATTTGCCTTTATCTTGTTGTGGTGCTCAAGTGTTTTATAAATTCTAAATATAAGTCCCTTATCTGGCATGTCATTACCAAATACTTTTTCCCAGTCTATGGCTTCCCTTTTTACCCTTTTGGAGAAGTTTTTGGATGTGCATAGGGATTTGAGTCTTAGAAGGTCCCATTCATCTATGTTATCTTCTCCTGGTTGTAGGTCATGGTAACCTTCTGAGATGCCCCCAGTCATCAAGATAAGGCAGAAAAATAAAGAATAGGCTTACCAGTGTTAACTTAAAGTTTCTAAGCCTGTAACACTAGACGGTTATCAGGGAAGAGAGCTCTCTAACAAGACAAAGGTGAAGTCTGCCTCTGTTAGTTCAGCTTTTTGGTGAGTTGTGAGAGTGTAGAAGTGTGTCCAGTTCTTCAAGACTTATGGAGTAGGCTGACTCATGCTGCTGCCATTGAGCTTATCTGCTCTGTCATTGTTTCTCCTTGTTCCAGGGGCCAATGAAGCTTTTCTGTTTTGTTTTGTTTTTAATCACTTCAGGCTCATACTTTTCCTTGACCCTCTTCAGAAAAAGAATTTATGACTCCCCTTTCTTCCCCATCCTGCTAACCTTCATTGTAGGGGTCAGCCAGAGAGAAATGCGTTGGTCTGGCTGGTAGAGAGACACTCACTCATCCCTCTCCATGTGAAAGACGCTTGGATTGAGTCTGTCAAGTTCTCTTATTACCTCAGTAGGAGGACTATGAGGAAGAAAAAAAATATTACAGACAGGTAGTACTCAAGAACTCTAGATATGTGCGTTGACCTTTGCTTCAAAGGCTTTGGACCATATTATGATATACACATTTATATATAATTTATATATATAAAAATCAAGAATCAGGTTATTCTTTCCTGAGAGAGAATTTGTGATTTTAGGAGAACCCTAAAGAAATGTAAATAAGGTTGCTTTTAAGAAGTCTTGTTTTACCAGCATTGCCTTTTTAGAAATGAGGTAGTGTAAGAGTCCCTGTAATTATGGGCTATTTTTTCTTCTTTTACCACCCCCTCCCCATTTCTAGGCAATTTAAATAGATTAGGAGCTAATGTGATGAATTGTTTTCCTATTATCAATCCTAGATTTTTTTATTCAAACCATCCCAGATCTGGGAAGGAGGTGGAACATTATTCTGTCTGTGTATTTTGTCCCATCACTGAAATGTCTTAGCTGTGGTTCCCTGTTCCATATTGAACACAGATGGATTTCTGTTCTTTGCATTAGAGCTCTGGCAATCAATACATATTAGGGCCCACCTCCAACATACTGAGGATACACGTCCCTTATGGTCCTATCCAAGAAAAAAGAATATAGTTTTGCTTTAAGAAAGACTCCCCACCAATAAACTTCTTTTCTCTATTCTTCCAAGCTTCCGCAGATTCACGCGTTCCAACAGTGTGACCACAGCAGTGCAGGCGGACCTGGACTTCCATGACAATCTGGAAAATTCTCTGGAATCGATAGAGGACAATTCATGTCCCAGCCCCATGGCCAGACAGTTCTCCCGGGATGCCAGCACCTCGACAGTGAGCATCCAGGGCTCGGGAAACCACTACCACGCCTGTGCGGCCGACGAAGACTTCGACGCTGATTTCGACCCCTCCATCCTGCCTCCCCCGGACCCTTGGATTGACTCTATCACTGAGGACCCTCTGGAGGCCGTCCAGAGGTCTGTGTGTCACCGGGATGGCCACTGGTTTTTGAAGTTGCTCCAGGCAGAGCGGGACCGCATGGAAGGGTGGTGCCAGCAGATGGAGCGAGAACAGCGGGAGAACAGCCTGCCCGAGGACAGTAAGTAACCACAGGCCTCGCGCCCGGGGCCACTCTGTCGGAACCTTTGTTGTCTTCTCCACCTGCTGACTGGTGGACGCTTGCAGTTTCACTTTGGCAGGTGGAACTTGTAGAAGAGCTGGGAAATCACAGCCAGGTTTCTCAGTGCTGCACCAGAGCACAAAGCAGCGGGCAGATGGGCCACTTCCCCAAGAGCTAGATGCAGACATCCTTGCTTTTCTCCCAAAAGCACAAAGCTCACCTTGGAGGCCTCACGTTGCTATCGTAGGCCCTCTTCCCCAAGATTCTCCTTAAATGTTGCCGGGGCTTAGGAAATTATAAATGTTTCCAACTAGTTTGAAGGTACCTAGACACATATGTGTTGGGTGTTTAAAATATTTATAGTTATATTACTTCCATTAATATAATATTAAAGCAGAGCTAATATACAGAGACCCATGCTTGCTTACATTCCAAAGCCTGGCTGGCATATAATATATCCTTTAGATTTTTGGCAAGACCAGGGCTTGTCTAGAAAAATAGATAGGTGGATGGTTGGATAGATGATAGAAGATAGATAGATCTCCAATAGAAAAGTAGAAAAACAGATCCAATAGGAGGGAAGGACAGAGGAAGGGGGGAGAGAGGGAGAGAGAGGGAGGGGGAGAGAGAGAGAGAGAACACATAGAGATACAGACAGATAATAAGATTTATTTGAAGAAATTGGCTTGTGTGAGTGATTAGAGAGTTAACAAGTCCAAGACACGCTGGAAACTCCAGCACAATATATATGTTACAAACTTGAGATCTAATTCTTTCTGGGAAATCTCATTTTTATTAAGGTCTTCAGCTGATTGGATAAGGCCCACCCACATTATTTTTACTAATATTCAACTGATTGTAAACGTGAATCCCAACTGAAAATGCCTTCATAGCAAGATCTAGACTGGTGTTTGATTAAACAACTGGGCACAATAATCTAGCCAAAGTGATAAAGAAAATTAGCCATTACAGGTGATAAACCTTCAGTCACCAAAGTAATTAACATACGTTCCAAGTCAATGTATTAAAATAGGTTACTTTTGGAGGCCTTGAATATGCTTATTTTTCAAGCGATGCCTTTAAATAACAAATCCTATTGGTGATTCAGTGGTAAGGAATTGCACGGCTAACCCAAAGGTATGCAATTCAAATCCACTGGATGCTCTGAGGGAAAAAGATGGACAATCTCTTCCCACATGAATGATTCGACGGTACTAAAAGAAACAACATTGGCAACTAACCAAGAAAAATTACTACATTCCCTCATTGTGAAGCAAATTTTATACATTTTTAACAACCTCAAAATTAGAATAAATTGGTCTGTAGTAAATGCATATTTCAAAGTTGCATTTTGTTCCCTCTGGAAAAGTATTATTAAAGTAATGGAAGATCTAAGTAATGATTTAATTGAATGAAATAAATGCATTAAAGTCTGTTTTCATTTTTGGGTGGGAGCCATCTAGAAAAATATTGTCCTGATGTGGCTTTTTCTAACTCATTTGTGGAATTACTGTACAACTTTGCATAATGAAACTCCATGGGCCAGCCAAATCTCTCAGTTTCAAAAATATATTATTTTTTACCCTTTCCAATTTATTGTTATTTGTACCAGAATATTTTTTCTTTAAATTTCATTTTGTTGTTGTTTTGTGTGCTGTTGAGACAGAACCAACTCCTAGCTGACCCACTGGCAGGTTTTCAGAGGCTGTTAATCACATGAGAGGAGACTGCCCTGTTTTGTTCTGTGGAGCAGCTGCCTTTGAGTTTGCAGTACAACACCTTACCACTAGGGCTACCAGAGCACCCTTTTGTTGAGAATATATGTAGCAAAACATACATGACTTGGACAGTTTCTACATGTACAAGTTAGTGATGCTGATTGCTTCCTTCGAGTTGTATAAGCTGATTGCTTCCTTCGAGTTGTATAAGCTGATTGCTTCCTTCGAGTTGTATAAGCATTCTCACTCTCCTCTTCTGAGTTGTTCTGCCATCAACATAAACTCACAGCCCCTGAGATTTCTGTCTAATCCTTTTTTAATTTTATCTTTTGAGTTGCTTTTGTCAACGTATTCCATATATATAGTTCTTTTTCTTAACTAGATTGCTCACATTCATATACATTGTCTTTTAGACAATCATTCATATACATTGTATTTTATATCATTATTGTTAATCTATACCTGTTATAATTGTAATTATAATTATAAACACATCCCCCTCCCCATATATATATATATGTGTGTGTGTGTATATATATATGTGTGTGTGTTATATATATATGTATATATATATGTGTGTGTGTGTGTATATATATATATATATATATTTGTGTATATATATATATATATTAACAAATTGTGCTGCCAGTGCAAAGGTATGCAATTCAAATCCACCTGCTGCTATGTGGAAGAAAGATGGGAAGTCACCTCCCATCTAATATACTGCTTCTGCTAGTCGGCTGGAAGGCCAGCTATGGGTTGGTTCTGACTCATTGGTACTCAACAACAACAATAGTTCCTAAAAGAAGACAATATTTAAGATAGATCTTTTTAACTGTCTAAACAAAACTATTTTTTTTTAAAAAAAAAGAAGACGTCAGAGGATATTTTTGTTTTAAGATTTAATAATTAACTCATGGAATTAGTTTCAGGGGGTTCATCCAATATCTGTGGCTCCAGAAAGTCCATAAGCATTTAGAATTCTGTTCTACATTTTCCCCCTTTTGATTATCTTCATCTCCTCAGCACTTCTCAAAATGTCTAGCTCCTAGACATACAATAAATACATGTATTGAGGCCACAAAATATTTTGGATATTCTGCCTTGAAACATTATTTGACTCAGCAATACCTTCCTCCCTCCCTTAAGTCATTATGTAATACTCAATAAGTCAATCCATCTCATCCTGAATCTTCCTTTCCTGCACTGTCCTTTAATCCTTCCAAAACATTTCCTGCCCTCTGTGACTGGAGAAATGGATTTCAGTCTGTTGGAGACAATAAGATTGGCTTAGGATAGGGCAGGATTCAGAGCTATTGTACATAGTGTTGCTATGAGTTTCGGGGATCTTGACAGCACATAAAAACAACAACAACAACAACTCAGCATGGCCACCAAAAGTTGGAGTGGGCACCTTCTTGTGACAGTAAGCATTCCTACACTCATCGACAGATAGGGCTGAAAGGGCAGCCTTGCTGTTCTGTTAGTAGCCTAGGTGAGCTCTGCACGTCCCTTCCTGCACTTGACACGCATTTCCCTTTCCCAAGTCCTTAAAAGTTTTTTATAATTTTCATTTTTTATGAAATGCAAAATAGGAACCTCAAATTACTAGTATTCCAGAATTCCAAACAGTCTGTCATGCCTAGGTCAAGCCATTAATTTCAAAGGAGTAAAATCAAAATCAGCCTGAATTAAAGCTGTAGGAGGGAGGATACAAGTGCACGAGAGACTACACAGTTTGCCCCTACGACATCTCAGAGGCTTTGACAGGTGCTGTTTTATTTGCCCTCCAAACAGCTCCCTGGCAGTATCTTCTCCAAGGTCACAGCACACAGAATTGTCTGATAGAACAGATACAACGTGAATAACATTTGACCAGATAATTATGCTTTGTGTGTCCCTTGGCACCGACCCTTATAAAATGCTTCCTATGTATCTGTGTCTGATTCCTTAGCAACCAGAATTCTGGTCTGATAACTAGGCCTGGATGTGCGGAGGGCCTTTGTTTGTTGTAAATTCTTTGACTTAGCTTACTTTTTTTTTTGTTTCTTAAGTCAGCGTTAAGAAAGAGAGGCTGATCTTCTTTGGTGGATATAATCAATTTCTAAGTAATGAATACTGTTTAAAAAATCTGAGTGCGTCCAGAGAAACAGCTTTGATGAATGGGTGAAATACACATCTATCTATCTATCTATCTCTTAATAAGTAAACACTGTCTGGAAAGTAACTCATGTGAGTCACTGAGTTAATTCCAACTGGCAGGAACCCCACCTGTGTTTCTGAGTAAAGCTGTGCTCCGTAGAGTTTTCAGTGGCTGCTCATTTTGGAAGTAGGTTACCAGCCCTTTCTTCCAGGGCACAGCTGAACATGTTCATCTGCTTTTCTATTAGAGAGTTGAAAAGAGTCAGTCCAATCTTAATTAATAGCTCAGCTATCAATCATTTTATAATACTATTATCTTACTACTGATAGCTGCTTCCCAAAGGACATTGTTTTAGAATTCCAGTGGCTGAAAAACATTTTTCCTAGTTTACCTGAAACTCATCAAATGTGGGTAGCAAGGTACAAGTAGAGACAGACACGGAGTAGCCATGATCTTGCTATCCCAAACTCCCTTTTGAAAAGTAGAATTCAAAAATTCCTTGGGCGTGTGGAGCTATTATTTTACCTGATAAAACAAAAGTAGAAGAAAGATGTTAGCTCTTGCTTTAAACCTTCACTCCCTAACTTTTGATAGTTTGTTTTTCTTTTGATAACAAAATAAGGAGACTCTGCAGTGAGCAGGCCCCCTCCACGCCAGACAGCTGAGACGGGCTTGTCCTTCCAGCCTTGAAAGTAAAACGATACAAGCTTTGCACAGACAATGAAACCCTTGTGTGTGAAACAGCTGTCTCAGGAGATGGCTCGGTGCTGCTTGACAGTGGCTTGTATGTTACATGGATACGTCTGGCATTATCTAACCGGGAATGAGACTACCAGATGGTCCTGGGTGATTGGGACCTGGCATGCTGTCCACGCCGAGGGGAAAAGCAGTAGCTAGGGTTTCAGTGGTGCTGGGCTAAAATGCCAGCTGATTGTCCTCTAAATCTATGCCTCCTGAATGGTGGAGAGCTTAGATGTGGGATTTCCAGACTTTATCTGACACTAACTGATAAGTGTAGTGTATGTGTGCAGGAGACACGTTGGTTCCTCCTGAATTTCTCCAGGAATTTGTATCCAACTCAGTGACACTTGACTTATAGTCTCAGTTTGGAGGCCTTA